ATTGCTTCTGTGCATGTGTGTTTGTTTGTACGCATGTGTGTTCATGTGCGTGTGTGTGTGTGTGTGCTGCGCGCGCGCGCGTGTGTGTGTGTGTGCGTGCGTGCATGTGTGTTGGAACCATTGATGGCCTCTAGAGTTTCATCCTTCCACAATCATTGGCCTGTTGGAAGGTGCAGCCGCTCTGCAGGTATCTGAAACCTGCAGCAAAAAATCAAAGAGCTGAGGAGTATAGCACAGAGCTATAGGGTTACAGAGGGTGAGCGAGGGAATGAGAGACAAAGAGTGACAGTGCAGAAAGAGAGAGAGCAAGTCAGCGGTGAGAAAGCGTGGAGGAAAAAGAAAGGCATGAAAAACATCATGTTGTTCAGTTTATTCATGGCTGAATGCAGTCCACCGGCTCCTTTTAAAGTCACAGCAAAAGTGTGAGCTCTGCAGCCATGGCTCAGGCTTTTACATCACTTGTGTGTTCTGCAGTAGAACCTGTTCACTGCTCTGCACACACCTGTCTGTATCAGAGCTTTATAAAAGCACTCACACTTTGATGTGCCGCCTGCCAATGACACAGGTGCTCAGGAAACTGTGCTCAGAGCATAAGTCAATCAGCTCTTAAACAGTACTATTTCATAGGTGTCGGTTCCAGTATCGCTATTGACTGATACGATACAAATTCTTTGATGTCAGCTCATATCAATACTTAGTGCTGACATTTGGTGCTGATATTTTTTAGGTAGTGTCCCATTCTCTGTGTGCCCTTTTTGAACAGACTAAAGGAAATAGAAGAGGGTTATATGGCTGTGACACATGACTTTATATCCCAGATAAAGACATTTTGTCATTTTGCATTTTTACAAAAGTGAAAAGTAAATGTGTGACTGTGGCTTCAACGTAAGATACATTTGTGCACCTAACTATGGATTTTTAAATCTAGATATCACATACAAGTACCACATCAGTATTGTCTTATTAAAAACATTATAATAATAATTCATATCGGCACATCTTGACTATTTGAAGAGGGAAGGATCTTTCTGAACATTTGTTTGATACTGGAGCTGTCACTGAACATTATACGTGCTTACTCGAACAGCAGGTGAACATAATGAAGGATCAATAGGTCTGAGTAAAAATGAGCAGTCTGAAGGTGCTGCTTCAAGTCGTGCCAAGGCGTGGACCCGCGCCTGCATGTGCCAGCGCACAGCCACAAAGAGCCCATGCTTTATGGAAGACTCAGCCAGAGGTCATCATCATCCACTCTACTGCACACGGCCCCATCACCTCGCTCACACATGATCATACTGTCCCAAGGCACCGCTTATACAAAAATCCTCTTCACTTTAGCAACTAGCATTAAAACCTGTCATTCAAAGTCTGTCATTAGAATCTGGCAATAACCACTTTTGAAAACACAACATCCACATACTCCACACACAATACTAGTAGTTAGCGCTGGAAGAGAGTATTGTTCATTGAGCACACTGTCCATCAGGCTCCTATAGCTCCATTCCGCTGTGTATCAGTTAATTATTTTATGCGATAAGTCATATTTTCATTCAATAATATATCTGTATTTTTTTAAACTGAGCGGTATCAATCTGGTCACCACCCCCTCCGTCACACCCCGAGCCAGATTCAGACAACACTATGCAATAGTGTTTATTTTTCATTTTCAGTTTTTAGTTGATAGAGAAATGACACTGCTGTGCTGTACCAAGTGCTTACTGCCAGCTCATTCATATTTTCTTGGTCTACGTCATCACAGGTATAATAATCCCTACAATGGAAGCATAATGGACTGTCCAGTCCATTGTAGGCTGAATGGACAACATTATCCTAGTCTCCTGAGTGTCCATGTCTCCAGGTGCTGGATCCTGTACGGAACTCCAGCGTCATGCCTTATTCATTCTGCAGAAATCCACGTTTTTCAGTCTCCTGTAATATTTATTTCCCTTTCTGTTTTACGTGTAAACAGCCATATTTGTTTTGATACAAGCTGACCATGCATGTCCCTGACTGACTAATCTGCTTCTCCATCACCCTCATCTGAACTTGGGGAGATTAAACGATGACCAGACTCAAATCTTAGTAAAGTATTAGAGAAGTGTGTATTGTGGATCCTACACAATGTATCCATGGCACATGGCACATCATAAAAAAGTATCCCTTTTATATACCATTTTGGACCTTTACCCACAGTTGCTCTAACTTTCATGTGTGCTTTATAGAGAACAGTCTCAAACAGCACATGAAACATTATAGTGACACCAATAAACAATGGATCTGTGATAATAACTTACAGCCAGTAACATGTCAGCTCATGTGTTGTTTTTTTTTCATCTTTACTATGTAATAAAAAAAAAGAAATAAAAAAAAAAAGAGTCTGACCCATGTCTGACCCATGGTGGGATGAGCGCGTCTGTACAGGACAAGACAAGTGGGAGGAGCCACACAACTCTGATAACATGTTTTCATTCTGAGTGTATGTTTGCTGAAAACTCAGTGTTGGGGCCAGTTCAATGGCTATGAGACACAAACATTGCCTTGTGCTTTCCAAAAATGTTTTTCATGGCCTTGTCAGAACTAGTTTTATATGTACAAATGTGAATAACATTTCTCTGTCAAATTGCCTTCTGATTACTAGTCTAGCCAAGACTTCACACTTTTCCTGTTCAACTGAAGATGTATAGTCTGGGACCTTGTCTCATCTCCCCACGCTCCAATTGGAATAACAAACTAGCAGATGAACCAATCACAGAAACACATGGTCCAAGCATGTTTTTCTAGATTCCATATTCAAGGATTTATTGTCATTGCTACAAGTAAAAAAATTACATTCAATCCAGGCGGGGTGAAACAATGAGTGGAGCACTAAGCACAGTAACTCTGAGGCAACAGAAGTTATACATTTTAGACTGAATATGACAGTATTTGAAAACTGCTATAATGAACTGGATGGAGAAATGATTAGCAGTGAACATAAAAGTAGATGTGGCTGAGCTTCCATGTTGCTATTGTACTGTTGTAGAATGTATCCATGGTTTGTCATTTATGATGCAGAAGTGAAGTTAAGACATGCATGTGTTTGCGGTGCTGCACTGTACTGTGCTGTTGTACCGGGCTGTTGTACCGGGCTGTTGTACCGGGCTGTTGTACCGGGCCGTTGTACCGCGCTGTTGTACCGCGCTGTTGTACTGCGCTGTTGTACTGCGCTGTTGTACTGCACTGTTTCTGAAGCAGCTGACAGGCAGGTGAGATCAAAGTGTGGCGGACAAAAGAGGCTCAGCAGCGATTTGTCAGGAGAGGAGAGGCAGCGGGCCGGGCCAGCCTCTGATCAGAGCACCTCCAAAGAACAGCTCCATGAGAAAAAGTACAGCAGAAAGGGTTCAAAGGTCATTTTGATTTGCTCTGGATTACTGGTACCTCCTTTCTCCTCAGCCAGAGGAGGGGGCAAGAAAAGGACCTGGCTAATAACCTTTGTATTATTGCAGAAAAGAAACCCTTTTGTGCCAAGAAGGGTTTTGGGCAAGTGGTGGGGGGAGAATTTTTGGGAGGTCAATTAAAAAGGAGCCCTGAAATTCTTGCTTTTATTCATGGCTGCAGGAGAGAAAAGGGCAGAGTTAAAATGTATGCTTTAGGTTTTGTGTGGATCCACTTCATGTGGCTGAGTTTAGATTCATTTGTCAAGTGGACCATGGCAAAAGAAATGCTTTGGAAATATTTCAGCTGGGTAAATAATGCCGAATTGGCTTTTCTTCTCTGTCCGTGACTGTTTCATCCACAAACAGGTTTGACAAACGCAACCATGCTCTGAGCAGAAGTTATGTGTACTTGTTCTTTTGAAGGGTTCTGTAATGTAAATGGTTGGAACTAAATGTGATCTTTTAAAAGAACCAAATCTTTTCTTTCTGTTTTTGATGCATTTTTACAATTATTAACTCTGAACCAACAAGAGAATCAGCACAAAAGCAGAGCAGGCAACACCAGTTGGTTAAACATCTTTGATGATTGTACAGCAGATTCCGTACTGTAAATTCTGCATCATTTCAAAGGGTAAACATACTCCCACTCTGTTCATTTTACAATTTTTTTTCTGTGATTAGTTTGTAGATATAATAAGTTCTCACATTGGCTTCTGTCATATAAATAAATATAAAAAAGAGTCTTTTGAATGGCTCTTTGAACTGACCAGATCCAAAAGATTTGGATCCCACAAAGGAGCCGAAAGTCCCATCACTACTCTGCAGTATAATGTCAACTCCAATGACAGTGAAGGAGCCAATAGTCAACTTTACATTGTGTACGTCCAAGGAGAATACATGCACAGATCACTTTCTAAAGTGAATGAAGATTTGTTATGTGCACCAAGAGAAGGGATCCCAGAGTAAACCTGCATGATTTTGACTTGTTTTAAAATGCGAAATTTGAAATTCGCAGACCCTGTGCACGGGGAGGCAAGCCCGCAGACACTAAGAATGCATGTTTTACCATTTATTTCTTAGTAACTAAACAACTGTAATTAAATAAATGCAAGATAGTTAATGCCTTGTTTTGGAACATTGCAGGCAAAGCAATAATATCTAGCAGATGGCAAACCCTCCACTAGGAAAGCTAGATAGTGGAGATTTTACTTTGTTAAAACACCCAAAACAGAACTTAATTGTAAACAGTTAAAAGTGGTCTGAAATAATTCCTCACTTATATAACACATTCCTAGCATCCTACTTTAATGTAATCCTAAATAAAAAGTGTATTCTACAATTTCCAGTGGCCAAAGCATAGTTAACAACTACTACTACTAACAATTTCCCTTGAGGAGCAGTAAAGTTTGTCTAAGTCTAACACCGAACAAGTGTTGTGGATTGGCACACATTTGAGAGAAATCATAAGGGTTGTAGAGAAGACTGCTGCTGTCTGAGGTCTTCTGTAAGTTTCATAGGCACACACTTTGGGAAACAGCATGTGTGCGGGTATGTGCATGTCGCGGTGCCCTGCTTATGATCGGGATGCTCTGTGGGCGGTGTGGAGGGCGCGTCATTAAAATAGTTTCTGAGAGCAACAGCACACCACATCTGAGGTTCCACCCTCTTCCAGCATCTAACCACATCAAGAGCGTCTCACTTAGAAGCGGCCACCAGAACAAGGCGGCATGCACACAGCTCTCTCATGTTTGGCTGCAGTCTGAGTCGAGCATGGCCCAGCACAACCTCAGTCTTCCCCTAAACGCTGCTGTTTTATGGCTGTCCGGGCACAGGGGTGAGACAGGGAGCTCCAACAGTGATGTATTGGAGAGGAAGACAAATTAAGCGTCCAGTCTCGGGGGGATTCTCAGCACAGGCCGTGATAGCAGCCATGGAGCAGCGCCAAAGGGCACAAAGATTTGTAGATGATGGTGCTAATTACCAGAATGCTAACCATAATGCGACCAAGATGGAAGCAATTTAGGCAGTAGTCATTTAGCCTGCTGCTCTTCCGCCCACCGGCTGCTGCCTAGCCAGAGCCAGGCCGTAGGATGGGAACCGTCTGGGAGCTGCTTGTTCTGCGGCATGAAGAAATGCAGCCTGTGCGACAGATCATTAGTTTGCTTTTGTTTCTTAAGCTCCTTTTAGCAGAGATGCCCTTCCTCATTAGCGGACAGAGTTCACAAGTCTGGAAAAAGATAGACTATTCAAGTTGACAATTGAAAACACACTAGGTTTAAGTGCTGACATGAGGCTGCCACTTGGTTTTTCTGCTAACTTCAGAATATTAAAGGGAAGACTACGCAGGACTTCAGCACCATGTAACCAAGATTCAGTTCTACAAGAGACAATCAATACTGAAAGCAGTACTGAATTCACTTTTCACAGCTTTTAAACATGTTATAGTGGTTTCCTCTCACCATTTCCTCACACTAAGTTGTATGTTTAAGCAATCTTTAATCGTTTATGTTCAACGTGCCATTTTGCCGATCTACCCCTGTTTTCACCACCACCAGTACACAGCCAGTGTCATGTACACACTCTGTTCTCCTAATTTTCATTTTCTTAACCTGTGAGACATGTAAGATTTGGCAGCATTGTGTAGTAATTTTGGTACAAATGAAAAACTGCCGAAGTCAGCATGTTTGTTTTATTAACCCTGTCCAGGCAGGCGTTGCAGATTTGCAACAGCAAAATTTCAATTACCTACTTACTCCACATCCATATTTTATGAGCTTTTTTTTACTCAGGAGCCGTTTCTCCCATCCATGCTGATAAACATGGACGATGCAGAGTGTGCAAGAATGGCTACACGCAAACGGCCTGTCAGAAGAGCAAAATACTTTTTTTGTTTACAAAGGATAAAAAAGTCAGAATTGTATATTACTACCCCATATGATAATTTTCCCCAAATATCATATTTTTCCAGATACTAAAAATAAATTTGAGCCTGAGAGGGTTAAGTTGTTTCAAATGAATAGTGAGATTCAAAATATGCAGATTATAACATAATGATCCACAGAGATCATAGATTATAATTACAGAGCAGACACAAGCACAGTATGTCTTCTTTAACTTCAGTCAAAATGGTTTTGTGAACAGGCACCTGGCATTTTAGAATATAATGAACATTTCAGATGTGGACGATTGAAGTTTCTGAAACACATACTGCAAATTAAAGTTTTTCTTTATTGTTTTTTGTTTTGTTGATTGGGTTTACAAGAGAATTCAACTTCCCACATCAACAGTAATAATGCCACCACATCTTGAAGTCAAAAATATAGTTATAGTCTTGCATTTGTGATTACGCAATGAAGACATTAAACTTTCTGACAGTTTTTGCTTCATGTGGGCCTGGTTTTTACAAAGATGTATACAAAAATATTAAGGAATGAATGAGCAAAACAATTTGACCGTTAAAAGGCAAATTCTGACACAGAACCCTCACTTGCCCCCCAGATAGGCCTACATTTTAAACTATGGCTAGTTAAGAAGGCTGTGATGTCACTTGAACCCAGCCAGTCTGGGAAATGCTGCACAGCTGTTGGACGCAAATATGTCCTTAATAGAATGTGTATGATCTAAATGTTGAATGAGTTTGTCCACTTGGAGAAGTCCTATAGTGCCTCTTAAACTCACTCCTCACGTGATAATGTTTTACTGACGTTGTTTCTCCTGCAAGTGGCATAAACTGTTTCAGTCATGCACAACTAGCTTCAGTTGTTGTTTAAAAAAATAAAAGAGGAGTGTGGGTTGGTGCGTGGTTCCAGTGGCAGCGTGGTCGTGTATCTCGTCCCTCACCTGTTGCTGTGGCTGCTTGGGCTCTGCCCTCCTATAATTTGGGGATGTCTAATTGCTCTTTTCGGATATTTCAGAAGAGGAGTTCAGAGGAGAGGACTGGTTCGCACTCGGCCGCTGTGTAATTTTATCCACGCCGCAGTCTCTCACTTCACACGGGGCTGATACCTTTTGCCTCCCCCTCCTTTGTATCAATTGGTCGGAGTTCAGCCTATTGTCGCCGCAAGCTTCTTTTATATGTGGTCTCCGTGTGCGCTCGGGCTTTCAGTCACATCCACGGGAGGGATTTCTACAGCTACAGAGGAGTGGGACCGCGGCTCGGATGTGACTTCTGCTGGACGCTTGATGCGGCTCTACCGCGTTAGGGCCCCCCACACTTTTTAATGGGACCCTGGGACTTTGTCAGGACTTGCTTTCCGTTTTCTCGCCGCAGTCGTGTCAGGCCAGCCATGTCACAATGCTGATGCTCGTACCTCTGCTGCTGCTGCTGAGCGCGTTGGATCCAGGCAGTGCGCGGGTGTCCTGCGGCCCTGGGCAGAAGGCCTGCGACCCCCGGCGGCGGAGGGATGCCGGAGGCCGCGGAGGAGTTTACGAGCACCTCGGAGGAGCGCCCAGGCGAAGGAAGCTCTACTGCGCAACCAAGTATCATTTACAAATACACCCCAACGGGAAGATAGACGGATCACTGGAGGAGAATAACCCGTACAGTGAGTCACTGCGCGCTTTTACGCACATTTGGCCATAAGCATTTTTAACTGTCTGGCCTGTTTATCAGATAGGGACATCAGATTTGACTCTGTTACATCTGTATAATGAACCATGGCATTTTGCTATTGATAAAATAGGTCCAGTGTGTTATTTTGTTTCATAATCAGCTAACGCGTGTACATGCATTGTTATTTGTATTATTATTAGCCTATTATATATTTATAAGACCTATATCAGAAGTCAGTACGATGAAACAATACAAATAAACTGCAAAATACACATTTTAAAACGTTGTCTTTCTGGCATATAAAAACTACTCATGCGTTTGGGTTTTCGCTACTGCGTGATAATGTCTATTCTCCCACACGTGCCAAAAACCAGCCTGGACTGTGGTGACAGCTGCGCAGCGAAGTGTGAGTGCGGGGCTGAAGTCACGCCATGACAAAGGTTCATCTGCGCCAGAAAGTGCCGCTCCTGCGACAAAAGCGCGCTCCGAGCGGATGTATTTATCTAATCACGCTCCATTAGTGTCTTTCCTCGCCCGCCGCTCAATGGCCTATTGACCAATCAAGCGCAGATTAAAGACTCAATAAACCGGCTGAAAGGAGCGCTTAGTGGATAACATGAGCGGAGCAGTACGCTATCACTGGATGTCCACCCATAGAGCTTTTTTATTTGCCCCAGGATTAGTTTGTTTTTCACTTGGATCATACGTGTAAAGTAGATGTGTTGTAACGAAAGAGCTTATCTCAGTGTGTTTGACTAAACCAGAGGTTGTGTGTTTCAGGCATCATGGAAATCACAGCAGTGGATGTGGGAGTGGTGGCCATCAAAGGGCTGTTCTCAGGCAGATACCTGGCCATGAATGACAAGGGCCGGCTCTACGCCTCTGTGAGTACCTCCTGTGTGTACTGTGTGCACCCCCTGTGTTTACTGTGTACATCTTGTGTGTACTGCACTGTGTACCTTCCGTGTACCTCCGGAGTGTACTGTGTACCTTCTGTGTCTACTTCCTGTGTACCCCCTGTATGTCCTGTGCTCCTCTTGTGTGTACTGTGTGTACCGTACCGTGTACCTCCTGTGTGTACCTCCTGTGTGTACTGCGATTATGTGTGGTGTCCTCACTGAAGAGATCATGTTTTGTTTGATCCAAAGCAGCCTCATCCCTCAGAGCTTTAATCTGTGATCTTTTCTCTTCAGGAAACCTTTAACAGAGAGTGTGAGTTTGTGGAGAGGATTCATGAGCTGGGATACAATACATATGCCTCCCGTCACCACTCCACAGAACAGCCTCTGCCCACAGGGGGCGCTGCAGGCAGCCGGCGACGCGCCAGCGCTAAGCGACAGTGGTACGTGTCCATAAACGGAAAAGGCCGGCCGAGGAGAGGCTTCAAAACAAGGAGTACAGACAAAGCCTCGCTCTTTCTGCCCCGAGTGCTGGCACACAAAGACCATGAGCTGGTGCGCCGGCTCCGGGAGAGCCAGAGCGCCCAGCACACGCACCAGCACCAACACACGCACCAGCACCAACACACGCACCAGCACAGTGGGCGCGAACGCCGGAGGAGGAGGCATCGCAGCCGCAGAGGCAAAGAGCCGCGCGCACTGGACTAAGCACTGACCCTCACTGGACGTACACTAAGTCTGGAGTAGAACTGTCCCTACAGAGAGCACTGGAACTGTCCCTCTGGAGAGCACTGGAACTGTCCCTCCAGAGAGCACTGATGGGACGCGCTGGGGACTTGAGGACCTGGGGCGGGTACAGCACGTACTTTCTGGTCTGTACTCCTCTGGTCACACATTTGAAGTACACATTTGAAGATAATGTATATAATATGTTATGGCTGTACAGAAGAAGATTATATTTTACTACTTTAAAGTGCTTACATGATGGATACTGAGGACTGGACTGCAAAGCACTTTGGGACACAGATCGTGGAGCAGTGGGAGAGTGTTTGTAACATGAGTACAATGTGATGTCTACTGTCAAAAAAGTAATGTGTATATTTGATTAAGGAGATGAATATTTATTTGATGCCTGTGCTGTAAGTTATTGATATAAGACATTTACTAATGGATAATTATGATGTCATTTTCTTGACAGAGATGCAAATGCCCTGTATTTCTACATAAAACTACTCTTTCACAGACTAGTCCTGTGTCTTTGACAATTTGTCTCAAAGTATTATAGACGGGGACTCCATTTGTAATCTGTAGATGTCATTCATATCAAACCTAGATCCATTTAATAATCAGATATTTGGTTCACATGCAGAATAATCATTTATTATTATTATTATTATTGTTGTTGTTGTTGTTGTATTTATTTATTATTGTTTTTTAAAGATTTGCATTTAAATCTGCAGACATGAGTAAGTATATGCTCTGGTGTCGCCAGCATACTAACGTGATACTGATACTAAGGAAAAGACTCAGTATTCTTTACTGATTTTGATACCAGGACGATAATAAAAACACAATTTCTTTAGTCAATAGAATGTGATTTTTAACATTAAATGGTAGTACTTTTATATTATTATGAGGTTTTATATATGTGTAATCCCTCAGTGGTGCAGTAGTTTCCATAATGCTCCATGGCCGTATACTAGTCTATGTGCTCTTATTCTTGTTCTGATACAGATGATACTAAGGCTATTCAGAAAAGGCTCATTTTTGTCCTGTCAATGGGACTTTTAGTACCAATATCTGCTCAAATGAGTATATAGTTTCAGTACTACTTTTAGTATTAATTTGTATCGATTTTCAATACATTTGACGAGCCGTTTACAATATAAGTCTCATAAATGTGTGAATAATTTTCCCAAGCTGAGATTCCCAGGACCTTGTGGTACTTTCCACGCTGTGATAATGAGCGGTGGGAACATTGCTCCTCTGGCTGCAGATAGTCCCAGTGAGGATTGGCTCCAGTGCCGCTGTGTGCTTTAGCACCAGAGCACAGGTGTGGCCCGTGCTCAGAGCTGCCTGGTGACTTTGCTCGTTATGGGGGGTAGCAGCATGATGCTCATCTGCTAAAGTGCTGCACCTGTTGTTGCCAAAAGTCCAAAAAAAAACAACAAAAAAAACCAGCCTGAATGCAAAATTGATCAGAGCAGCGTCGGGCCCTGTGGACGCTCAGGTTCTGCTTTGGCGCACTCACATCTATAGGTCTCCGCATAGAAAGCCCTGTCACCCTATACCTGCGGGCTGGGCAGGCTTCCTGGGTTGGACAATGGCTCCTCCCAAGGGGGGCCTGGGAAGCGGTGCCGCAAGAGACTTTTAGGCCTTTTTTTCTTTTGCAAACCGTGACCAAAAGCAGCACAGCAAAGTTCTAAAGAGCGGCTCTCTCAAAGTGTTCAAAGTGGGATGGCTGGAATGCTTTGCTACTCACTGGCTACATGCCTACTCATTCTTCTGGCCCAGGCCCTCATCCACAACATCTCACTGAAGGGAAACTCTGCTAACACTTCTCATGCAATTAAAGAGGGGATATTATGGATTTTTTTTTTTTGAAACTATCTGCTATGTTATAACATGTTTTCCTCATCAAAAATACACCTGAAGAGATTTAAGATGTCATCCATGCATGGTTATTTTAGTGACCTTGTCTGCATCCTATTGGATGTTTGCTGTTACAGTTTGCTGTAAGATTCTGTCTCATGCTCCACCCACAGGCCTATGTCACCAATGCGCTCGTGACAATTCTCCATAAATATACAAATACATGATACAAAACTGTAAACAACAACTTCACAAACCTGATGGGATGTGCAGTAGTTTCATTAGTGGGATGCACGTTGATTGTGTTGTGATAGTGCTCTGACAGCGCAAAGACTCTTATAAAACATGTTAATACATTGTTTTTCTGCAAATATGGCATTTTCAAAACAATAAAAGGTAACATGGTGATCTAAACATGTGGTGTTAGCAGTGAAACTTAGACAAGGATAATATCCCCTCTTTAAAATATCACTCATCTATGGCCTAATTAGAACTGTAAAGATATGGGTGACTGTTTCATTGACATGAAAGAAGATATAAAAGTGTTTCGGACACTGCCAAGTGCAAAAGGAAAGGACAAACATGTTACTAGGTCATATTGGGTGCACACATTAGCAGTAGGTCTATATATTATCTTATGTTTTGTTCATTCTAACTTGGATTGGAGGGATAGGACCAGGACCTGTGGTTAATATTTTTAAGTTTAGTTTAGTTTGTTGGAAAAAGTTGAAAGGAAAAGTACAAAAATACAAGAAATAGTGTGCATAATAGTTCTTCTGCCCATATCATCAACATGGAAAACACCATCCAAAATGCAGACAGTTTACGCATAAGGGAGACATTTTTTTTTTTTCCTGACAGTTTAAACCTTCATTTGACTTCATTTTAGATTTTCAATAATAATAATAATAATAATAAATAAGGATGCATTAGTCTAATATAACGCTTTTCCAGATGCTCAAAGTCACTTTACAATTTTATGCATTATTCATTAATACCATATTAACCTACTACTGTAGCCACAGCTGCCCTTGGGCAGAC